ACTGTGAACATTTTTAATAATATTAGTTTTTTCAATCTATGAATATAAGACATCTTTCATGTATTTGTGTTTTTTACACTATATTTCATTAATATTTTGTAGTTTTCATTGTAGAGGTCTTTCACTTCATTGTTTAAATTCCTAAGTATTTTTTTACTTTTTGATGATATTAAAAATGAAATTTTTTCCTGATTTCTCTTTTGGATAATTAATTATTAGTATATGGAAACATAATAATTTTTCCATGTTGACTTTGTATTTTGCAACTTTATTGAATTTATGAGTTTTAACAGTTTACGTGGAAGCTTTAGGATTTTCTGTATTTAAGATTCTTTTACCTATAAACATAATTTAACTTCTTCCTTTCCAATTTGAATGCCTTTTCCTTTGTTTAAACTAATTGTTCTGGCTAGGAATTCTAGTGTTATGTTGAAAAGAAGTGGTATCAATAAGAATTCTTGTCCTGCTCCTGATTCAGAGAAAAATATTTCAACTTTTCACTGTTGAGTATTATATTAGCTATGGGCTTGTCATATATGGTTTTTATTGTATTGAGGTACAATCTTTCTATACCTAATTTGTACAGTATTTATCACAAAAAGATACTGAGTATTGTTGAATGTTTTTCTGTATCTATTGAGATGAACATGTTTTTTGCCCTTCATTATGTTAATGTGGTACATCACATTCATTCATTTTCATATGTTGAAACCTCCTGCTTTAAAAATCTCAACACAGGAAAAAAGTTACTCTAAATATAGACACTGTTGGTGTTTTAAATACAATATTTCCAGAAATCTGAACTGTGAAATTGACCAGATATTCTTTATTAATGGGGTCTAAGTGTCCTACAACAATACACTCACTTTTTAAAGTGCTTTACAGTTCATACAATAGTTTTCTCAGTATATCATTTGATTTTCACAAGTCTGGACATTTCACAAGTCAAGACAAATAAATTAGAATATTTGATCTGCTTTCAACTTTCTCTGTCAATCATGGGTTTTCTTTTGCCCTGCACTTTATAAGGGCTTAGGAAAGTTTATAGTAGTGCTATAAAAGGAAATTAAAAAACACTACATTTATTATACTTTCTGTGGAGTTCCTTTACATTTTTCATTTTGGTTCTCGCTTTGTCCCCTGCTTAGTCATAAAATCCCGGGTTGTCCCTAAGGTAGTGGATCATATAGAAGGACCTCTGTGTAAAGTTACCAAAAGGATTCTGCTGCCTACATTTCTTTAGCTTTGATAAAAATCTTAGGCAAGTTGCAGCAATGTAACTAAATACAAATTCTTGAAATTTAATTGAACAATTCAGCAAATTGTAGATGTGCAACACTGTAGATGTACAAACGCTATAATATATGCTTAAAGTTTATAATATCACAGGTTAAATAAGAAATATTCAGAGAGGACATAAGTTTTGTGTTTGCAAGCACAGGATATGTAAGCAGAATGCTCTCAATGACAGAAAAGCTGATGTGCTCCTGGATTGCATTGGAAAATATCTGGAATATAGAGCAAGGATGGTAAGATTGTGCTAACCTACTGTATTTTCCTTTATATCCTTATATTGCCAAACCTGGCTTGTGAACCTATAGACTCTTAGCAAAATTGCAGCTATCCAAAGGCGTCTCTAGAGAGACAGAAGAACTCAAAACAATGTAGTAGGAGAAATATTTGAAAGAACAAGAAGTACTGAGCCAGAAATTTGAATGTATATGAGCAATAAGAGAATTATTATGGCATATTACCAACATAAGAGAAAATTAAGACCCCATGTGTTGCTTTTGTAAGAGGAACACTTGGGCTCAGAATGAGGGACATTTAGTTCATTTTAATTTATTATCATTAGAAGATAAATAATCAAAGTCTTCAACATCAGATATGGTATTGAATTTAAGGCCTTCTCAAAACTGAGTCTGAGTCAAGTACACTAGCTTATAAATCATGTGACTGCAGTTGTAGAATGACAAATAAAGCCCTGCAGAAATAAAAGTGTTTGTCAGAGGAAATAATTTTTATAGCAAATGACCATTTAAATTGGTGCTTGAATGGTAGAATTTTAACTGTAATGGTGGTCAGTTCAAATAATTAGTAAGTCCTTTAAGCATATTGGAATTGCAGATATTCACAGTGCAACTTAGGTATGAAAAGAAAAGGTAGAATTTTCATTTTACCTCAAACTGACGTGGCCATCTTCATGAAACCTCATATACTGAGAAAGAAGGAAGGAAAAAAATGTGCTTTTGGTCAAATCTAGTCAGTATTTTAATGAGTTTTTTCAGATAAAGTTCAAATTTATTAGGTTAAAGATCTTCAGTCTTAATTTTTCTTTTTCTCCTACATCCTATTTTAGATAATATCTAGAAATATCAGGGGAAGGGAACTTCACTTGAGGGATTTGGTGGATATGATTGGTGTTTCCTGCTTATTCTGGTGTGGGAGGTAATGTCCCTCAATATGCTTAGATGCTTCTGATCTTTCTATTGAAGTTGGAGAAACTCAAGGTCTGTGCTGGTAGCTCTCTTGGACTGATAGGTCTCATTTATTTGGCACTTTAGATATCTCTGTCATGGAAGGTCCACCCAACAGTCTTTGCTAAAACATCACATTGTTGTTTTTTTTAAATTAACATCAGGGTTCATGGTGGGTCAGCTCTCTGTCAAGTCAGTTACCTATTGAGTACAAAGGAACTTTCAGCAGTTAGGGAACGTAAACTCCTAACCTCTTTCTGCCTAATTATCTTGCCCTGTTCAAGGTTACTTGAATGTGGCATCCTCTCAAAAGTGTAAGAATTGAGGCAGATTTCATTGTAATTGAGTTTTCCCATACCAATCTGGGTATTTCTAAGACCACAATCCCTGGTATCACATATTCATGATGAGAGTGATTAAAATGATTTAAATTGCCTTCCTACAGCTCTTTTATCTCCTTTCTAGAATTTTCTGAGCTAAAAAGAATAGTTTTCTTCTACTTTAACTACCTATAGCCACTGTTTTCCTTATATAAATCTCTGGCCTAAGTTTTCATAGTGAAATGGCATATTTTGTCTTTACTATGGGAGAAATTCTATCACCTGGTCCACCAGGCCTAGCCTTGAGCTAGCTAGCCATAAGCAAATATATATTTTACCTCTTGACGATGACTTAATTTGAGGCCTAAAAACTTGTTTAAATTCCTATATTGTCTATTGAAAGTCATATATTATGTAAATCTTTTATATTTCTTATGTTATTATCCAAATCCTCAGCATTAAATTGCTTTAGATTGAATTGGTTTTATACTCAGAATGTCATATTAATAGCTCTCAAAACATTATCTCTTATCATAACATAAACATTCTACCATATAAACATAGTCATGCTAATTTCCCATTAAGTTTTTCAATAATTTCTCATTCCCCAAAGATAAAATATTAGAGGTTTCCCTGAAAATCCATACTGGGTTGTAATTTCTGTGTGCACCTTCATGAGGTTCCCTACTTCCACTTTCTTTACTCTCATACTTTTGCTTTTTAAATATCTACCTTTCCTGATAGTTTTGAAATTTCCACACCCAGTATACTGTCCTGGACACAGATAAGTAATAAACGTTTGTGAGAACTGTAGTTTGTTTTTGTTTTTTTGTTGTTGTTGTTTTGGTACCAGGGATCAAACGGGGGACCTTGCGCTTGCAAGGCTGGTGATAGCACCACTGAGCTAAATCCCCGGCCCTGTAGTTTTAATTATATGTATATTTTTCAGTTATACATCAATACATTATTTTAGTTTACATAGTTGTTTTTGAGATCTGTAAATTTGAGACTATTCTGAGAAATGAACCCACTGTAGTTGGGCTGGGAATATCAATTTCTAGTTATAGAGAAATAAGTTTCTGAACACAAGAATTTCACAAGAAAGTACATCTTGTCATATTTCTTGACAGATAATAATTTACTCTTTCCTTAGGGACACCCCTACCTTAACACAAGAATCAAAAAGGAGATCTGTCTTCATTAAACCTAAGTTCATAATGAGGACTTTTCACTTTATCATACCCAATTATTTTTCACAGATTTTTATCAATTTGCAGTTGTTCCAAGTTTTTTTCATAGGCTTATTTTACCTAAAGTTGGTCTTTCCATTTTATAAGGTTCCAATTAACTAAATTTAGTCGTGTTATGGCTAAATGGATGTGACTAGAAACAGCAGCATATAGCAATCTATATGTAAATTATTTCTTTATTGGTTAACATTTATGTTTGAAATTGTTAAATTAATAAAAAGGAACTTAATTTCCAACAAGCACACACTACAAAAAAAGTGTCATTATTTTTTGTCATTATTTTTAATCAAGATAGCAACAAAACTAAAAATTATTCCATGGAACCAAATGGGAACCGAGGTCTACAGGCTATGACCTATGTCTATTTTATGTTAAAAACAATGTACATTCACTGAGTATACTGCAGAAGATAAAATGCTATTAAAATGAAAAGCAATCGGCATGCAAGATAAGGGTAACTGGAGGAAGCACAAACCAATCCTCATTTTGCACTGTAGCAAAGGTTACTTCCATGTACAGGGAGCAGGGGCTGTTCCCCACTCCTTCATTAGTGCTCAGAACAAAGCGGGGCCCAGAGTGCGCGTTTCATAGTATTTGTTGAATGAATGAAGCCTGCATCCCAAGGCAGGCTGGTAAGTGGCTGTCGCCCCAAAGCATGTCTGCTGCCTTTTCAGCAGTCTAGGCTGGCATCCTCTCATTTCCCCCGCTTTCCAGCAGTAAGGAGTCCTTGTGCACCCCTCTCTCAGGGTGGCCAAAAGGCTGTCCCCAAGCCGCGCCACCCACAGGTAACCTGCTCCTTTCCCGCACAGCTGCAGCTTCTTCTGAGGAACGTCGGGCTGTGGGGAAGCGAGGGGACCCGGACCTCCACGGGGTCAGAGTAGCGCGCTGGCTCCAACACCTCAATAAAGGGCCTGGATCCTTATTATTTTTCCAGTCTTTGCGAAACAACCAACCTGGTCACCCTCGCCTCCCAGTGCAGACGCCTCAGTGCCAACTCGGGCTCTGCCTGACACCATGGGGAAAAAGAAAACGCCAAACGCCCAGTACGACCCAGTGCAAGGAAAGCCAGCCATGCTGAGCGCGGCCCAACGTCTCCCGCAGTTCCCGCGCTCCGCCGACCGACGCTTCCCGCGCGAGGTTGCCGGGGCTGCGGCGCAAGGGCAGCCGGGGGCGCGTGCGCGCGGACGGGCCGGGTGGGGGCGCCGCGCGCTAGCAGGTGGGCGCGTCCTCCCCGCGCGCGTGCGCGAGCCTTCTCCCTTGCGTTCCCCGCGCACCTTGTCCTCTCTCTCCGAGAGCGCGCGCCTCCGCTCTCGCGCCGTGTCCTGCTCGGTCTCCGCGAGCCTCACACTCGCCGGAGCTCCTGCCACGGCCGTCCTCTCGGCCGCGGCTCCCTGGCCCGGCGGCTCAGCCTCGGCCCCGAGCGCCGCGTCCCCAGCGTCGCCCGCCCCCCCCCGCCACTCCCCCTCCCTTTCCCGCGCTTCTCTCCCACCCGGCCGGCGGGAGATTCTGGGTGCGGAGCCGGCAGGCTTGAGAAGGCGGTTGGAAGATGGAGGTGCCGCGCCTGGACCATCCCCTCAGCAACCCCACCAGCCCCTGTGAGGAGGTGATCAAAAACCTCAGCCTGGAGGCCATCCAACTGTGCGACCGGGACGGTAAGAGCGGCCGCGACCACGGGGAGAGGGGCCGAGCCGGGCACCGGGGTCTTTTGTTGTCTCCCGGTGTGCGAGTAGATGCAAGTGCTGATCCCCTGCATCCACCTCTCGCCCCAGAAACAAAAGGACCCCGGCTTGCGCCCCGGCGCGGGAAGTGGAGTGCCCCCGCCTGCACCCGCTTGTCCCCAGCGAGGGCGCCCTTCGCGGCCCCCGCTCCTGCCCCGACCCCGCGCTTCCCAGCTTTGCCGCAGTCTGTTTCCCGGGTCTCCCAGCACCGAGGGAAATGCCCTCTGTGTGTTTCCAGCAGCCACCGCACTCGCACGTATGTTAGCATTCTCTGCCTAGAAACTTAGCAGGTTTTCTGTGAAGCTCCCCTTTTCAGAGTCCCCAGATTAGTGAATCTTTTTATCCTCTCCACTGGGGTGAGCAGGAGTTTTTCAGCGAGGGTACAGAAAAACAGTGCATTTCAGCACCAAGGACAGACACTAGCTTCGGGGTTCTGGGTGTGATTCAGAGGCTGTCAAAAAAATCTGTAAAGGAATTGGCCCAGTAGATCCACAGTGATTCAGAATAGGTGGCGAGTGCGCACCATTGTGCGTTGATATTGTATTGTTTATTCTATTGTTAAAGTTGGTAGTCTCCTAAAGTAGGAAATTGAATACAGGTCTGCGCGTCACAGGAATAAGTCAGTGCAGTGTACAGTGTGGGTAGTTCCAGTGCTTCTGTTTTAGTTGGACCACTTGGAGAGTCAATCGTATTTCACTAATGTGGAATAAAACTTCCTTTGTAAAGAAGTCATCTGATAATTGGTTCACCAAGTAATTGTAAAATTCTACATCAGACAAAGGAAACCCAATTTACATGTTGCCAAGAGGACCCTGAATACTTTTTGACCATAAATGAAATTAATGTTTAACTGTATGTAGAGGTAATAATTGTAAAACATTTTAAAACCAAAGTTAGGTAGAGATACTAATATGCTCATAGGTGGGAGGAGGGTCATAAAATTTATCAGTGTAAGCCGAATAGGGAGCAGAGGTCTTGTTTCTAAAGTCATTTATATAACAATACAGATAAATTGTTTTTGTTACTATTCAGTACATTTAGATCAAATGAGCACCAGATTTCTGTTTATTAATAGATTTATAATTTATTAGTTAATGTAAAGTTGTATTTCATAATCTTGAAACCCAGATTTCAAACACTTTGAAACCAAGGACATTTGAAATAATTCCTGAAATAGGTTCAATGTGAATAAATAAGTATTGTTATAAAGGCTTCTTGTGTTTTCCTTATTCATGAATTATTTTGGTTACCATAGTAGTAAGTATATTATTTATGGTACCTAAAAATAATTTTGTGTGCCATGTATAAACTTTCATGTTTAGACTATAATGATTATTTTTAATATACCACATTGTAAGTCATTTGGATTTTAATTTATACCATCATGACATGACTTTGTGTAATATCATAGCAAATTGCAAATATTTTTATTTGTTTATATTGCTTTGAAAGAAAACCAAGAAACTAATAAAGCAGATTTCATTTTTATTTACTTCAGTGATTTATCAAAAGCTCATTCTTGGAGTAATTGGAAATAGGTAATTCATATTGCTCCTTAGAATCCACTAATCTCAGTATTTAAAATTGCATTCACCATATTTCAAAGATATTAAAGAAAACAAAGTTTGAATATCTTCTTACAAAGTTTATGGAGTTAATGTAGAATGCAAAAATTAATGCTACATTTACTGTAGTTACTTCTGCTAGAGTAGTAGCTATATAATTCTAATTATTTTACTTGTTTCTGTTCATGTGAATCCTGCAAAATGAGCAAATTATGTAACATTTAATTGGGGTGTACTGACAGTAAGCGGTATCTATGAAAATTACTATTTGCAGAACTCTGATTGATTTTACACAGACTAATCAGGTTTCATTTTATGAACTAGCTTATACTAATAAATACAAAGAGCTAATTTTTCTATTAGAAAAGTAAAAATGTGGAATAACTGGTGTAGAGAGATTGTTAATTGTTTAACTTTCTTTTTTCTTTGTGATCCTACTTTATGTGTCAGCTCCAAAAATTTTAAGTTGGCTTCATAGCAATATTGTAGAGGGTATAATATAGTTGTTTTTACACAACAGTTTATAAAGTGTTGCATTTAATTTGTTGACCAGCTGTTATTTAGTATCATTTTATATTGAGTGAATTTCCAGCTAGATGTGATTTGCTCCCTTTACTTATTTCACTTTCCTTTTCTCAGGTTTCCTTATTTTACTTCTACAAATACATAGCATAGAAAGGCAAGGATGTAGCAGAGTTTGGCAGAAGATATGTTTCTGTGATTAAGTACATAAAAAGAGCTATGTTTTCATAATTTAATGGTCATAGAAATACATTTGTTTGGACTTTACTTTTCTCATTTTTATTGTACTGTTAATTTGGTAATAAAAATGAGAGACATCTTAATTTCTTGTAAGTGGAATCAAGTAAGATGGGGAAAAGTATAGTATGATTGTTAAATGTACAGTGTTCTTATCTTCTCCATTCATGAATGTTTAAAATTTTGTAATATTTTACTTGTTACATGAATTAAAAGCCATACCTATGTTGACTGTATTATCTTTCCTTGGCTGTTCTATGTTTTCTGCCTGTTACTTACCTATTTTCCTATAAACTGATGTTTACATTATGAGCTTTAATTCACAATGTTTCTTTTTTCATAGTTTCTCAAAACATTTAGTTGTCTTTGAAGAATATGTTAGAGTTTAGGTGGTCACATGATTGTATTTTTTAATGGAGCAACACACACACATAAACACCTACATATCATGGGTAGTCTGTCTGAGGCATGTGTACTTTGGCTGCTGTTATCTGGCCCCTGCCTATGTGTTAGTTACTTATAATTAAAAATGAGGATTCTGAATAGATTTCTATTAGGAAATCCTTGGAAGATGTACTCTGAACATAGATGTTTCTATTAATCTCTATTGCAAGTAAGAAATTATTTTTTTTTCATCGTACTTCTGTGCTGAAGTACATACATACTGTTATACTTTCATTATTAATTTTCAAAAATATTGAAGGATGAAACCAATTTTTCATCTAAAGCATCAGTAATTAGGAACCCATTTCCAGTTTCTTTATGTAGATACTTCAGATGCCCACTAACCTATGACAAAATAGCTCCTTACCCACCCCCCCAGAATTCAGTATATTCTGCTTCTTTTTGTATTTTATTATATACGTATGATATATATTTTTTCTTTCTTTGCCAAAAAGGAATGATTTATCTTCACGATGCCTTACTAATATCCAAGCTCCCTCTACTCTTGTTATAGTTAAGGAAAACATTACAAAATTAATTTTTTTTGGTTCTAATACCACTCTCAAGGCTTCCTAGTTTTAAAAATTGTTATTTCTATGAGTAGAGTATTTTGTGGCTCCCTAGATACAGTTTATGGAATTTATAATGCTAGCCAGTAATTTAAAAAATTACATAGACAGAAGCTAACAGGTTTCCCTGTCTTTGTCTCTAACAGTACTTCTGTGGAGGAAAAGGAAAGTTTTCTTCAAATATGGATTATATCCTATCTATTTAATTAGAAATCATTTGGGACTCTTTGTTAATGCTTCTTGACATATGAAATAGATAAAATTCAACTTTGGAAACAAAAGTAACCCAAATGCCTAGACAACCCTTAATAGCATTTTCTGAGGCAAACAAGTATCTAGGAAAAGTACCCATAATATTTTCTGAAGCAGACATATATCTTAGAAAAATACTCATAACTGTCTTTTTTTTTTTTTTTTTTTTTTGGTACCGGGGATCGAACTTGGGTCCTTGCGCTTCCGCAGCAGGCGGCAAAATCACTAAGCTAAATCCTCGGCCCCCTCGTAACTCTTATCATTAATCTCCTTATTACAAGAATGTAAGGTAATCATTAGTCTCACTGACATGCAATATAGCAGAGTAATAATAGCATTTTAGATAAGATGACCTTTATTAGAATATTGACTCTTGATGAGTTTGTGACCTTAGACAGATTCCTTAACCTGTTTTATCCAGAGGCTTTCTCAGGTAAAATTGGAAGAAAAAAATGCCAATCTTACAAAACTGATGAAAGAATAAAATGAAGCATCAGTTTCATAGGATATATCACAATTCTTGACAAAATAATAGTAATAATGATTGTGAATGAAATATTATTCTACGTATATGTTCTTGAGTTGAACTACTGCTTTTTAATCTTTTTTGCTAATATTTAGATCTTTGTTGTTTTTCGTAATTCCAAATGTATGTTATCCTGTTAGGAAATCACTTCTATTTCATGAGTAATTATTGAAGACTGAAGTTTTAGAGAACAGTAAATTTTAA